AGGCCACCCTCCTTCTTCAGGGGAGCTTCACAGTCTGGACACAGGGACATAGAGGGTTCAAGTGAGGAAGCTATCCCCAAAGGACTCCTTTTATTGCCAGGTGTACACTCACCCAGAAACAGGCCCAGGGACTGAGCTACACACATGGAAAGGGAGTGAGGGGGAGAGACATGGCCAGATACACCCAGAAACACACGGGCAAAGACACAGTCAGACCTGCAGACCCACACACGGGTGAACAGCCAGACCTCAGATACACTAGAACACATGAAACAGCTAAACACACAAAGATACAAGCAGACCCTCAGATGTACCCGCCCGGACAGACAGGGGAGAGCTATAGAAGGCGCTGGATAGACTCTGAGCTACTCAGACCCTCAGGCACAACTAGACCCACATGGAGAAGATAAAGCCCGATCCTCTGATCCACCTGAAGAAAGTAGAAACACACCTGGGAGAATCAGACACTCAGACAAGCTACCCATAGATAGACATACACAGGGGAGACACAGACAGCCCTTGGGGACAGTTGGACACACATAGAAAGACACACCAGTATACCTAGACACAAACAGATCCTGGGGTACACCTGGACAGGACAAGAGAAACTGCCACTCTGTCTGTGATAGGCAAGAAACATTCAGCAGAACTGACCCTAACACACTAGGCCCTCAGGGAAGGGACTCTCCCAGGTCATCGTAAGCACCTGGACATTCACAAGAAGTGACAGTATGACACATACGCTGTGAGACTCCAACACACTCCGGAACATTATCCCTGGAAAAAGACAATCATCCTGATAACACTCAACAACATATGGAAAAGGTTACAACCAGACTTTCTCATACAGCCAGGTGCACACAGGAAGAAGGACAGACATTCAGACGCATACAGACACACAGAGAATTAGGGTCCAGGACAACAGACACCCACATTTTCGTACATCCCAGATCACAGGTGAAGAGATATAGTCAGACTTAAGACATGTGTGATAGCAAGAACCATCATGCCTGGGATACACCCAGGTCGCGAGAGAAGGGGATGTAGCCAGTAACTCAGTCACAGGGTTTGAAAAACTAGAAAAATACAGACCCACAAGCCAGTCCCTCACTAACATACAAGAGATACATCCGATGCTCAGACACACACTGAACAGCGCATGCGAGGGCTCGTCTCCACCCACCAATCTTGTACTCGCAGGGCCGGAGTCTGGGGTCTTCCAAGATGTTGAGTCTCCGTTTCTTCCTCCAACAGCGGGCGGGATATGTGTAGATCTGTCCTGGGGCCAGACCTGTCGTGAGAGCAGCGCTAAGAATGTGGCCTAGAAGCTGAGCTGGTCCTCTCCCGCCCCTGCCCTCTGGACGGGTACCAGGCCCGCGGTGGGTCTTCTCCATCCAGATGTAGCAGTTGTTCTGGGCCACACCGGTCTGGGAGTCCAGGAAGGGGAGGCGCAAGCTGCGCTCGGCGCACAGGCGCGCGTTGTAGCTGCGGCAGTGTTCGATGGCCTCGCGGTAGAAGTCCTCGCCTAGGCTAGAGGGGGGAAGGGGGGAGGCGAGTGAACCCGCGGGCTGCTGCTGTCAGCCAGGGCAGGCCGTCCAGGCCGCGCGGCGCCCCTCTCCCAGCCCCACCCTCCTGGGGTCGAGGTTGGGTGGACTGACTCAGGCAACCTTTCTGGACACTACTAGACCCAGGGCAAAGGGAGGGAACCGGGTCATGGGCCCTCTAACCTGGGATTCAAAGAGCCTCCCAGCTAAGGAGGATATAATATACAATGTAGGAATTAAACACAAAGCACCCCGGGACCTATCCATTCATGCACATATCCAAAGACACAACACAAACCAATCACACACAGTCACACAGGATCTACACACAAAGAGAGACATATCCCAAGACTCACAAAGGAAAAGACAAATCTCACACATATGCACACATACACACACACACATCTACCAAAATACAAATATTCCAAGTTACATAGTATAGAAAAGAGCACACATATTTATCCATGCCCAAATATACATCACATATCTAAAGACATGTTACACAAATAAATCATCCATGCAGAACCTACACAAAGATGCACAATGTGGAAACAGATAAAAACATACACATGCATGCATACATCCAAAAACACACACAGATACACAAATGTCAAAAGGCACTAACTGTAGAAATAAATCACCCACATACACACTTACCCACACATCCAAAGACACAACATAAACAAATCACACACAATATCCAGTGACACAATACAAAGAAATCACACAGCTTCACACAGCAGCCACACAGTCACAAAATTACACAACATACAAAACCAGTGTCCCAAATACAACACACATCAAATCACACAAAGATACACACATATGCAATGCACAACATTGACATAGACAAACCCACCCATATTTACACAAACACTGTCACACAAACACACTCACAGCCCAAATATCTAAAGACACAAATCACACATAGTTTCAGAGGACATGTACACACACCCAAAGACCCAAATATCCAGAGATCTAGTGTAGAAGAAAAGAAATCACACACATATCCAAAAAAAGCAAAACAGAAACTAATCCCCCACACACTCCACATCTCAAGACAAAGGTAGTGTAGACTTCTTCACCCGAATTTACCAAGGCCCCCGCGCCCCCAAGCCATTTCACCATCCTTTCAACCCCGAGGGTCGCGAGGTGGGGACGATGACCCCCTTCTCCGAAGAGGATCCCGAGACCCCCACACCCTCCGCCCGGCCAGAAGCAGCGCGCCGGACACCATTCTTGCCAGAGACCCACAATCACACACACTCGCACCCCCGCGCAGCCCCGCGCACGGTGACAGCCCCCCAGACACCCCATCGGCCCCACCCCCGGCCGCCACACACACACACGCCCGCGCAGACCTGCCCTCGCGTCCTCCCCCGCCTCCCGCCGGCCCGCACCACCTCAGGGGGCCGGGGATGACCGTGGCCATCTTGCTCCCCGGGTCCTGCCCCCAGCAGGTCCCCGCCGGGTCGGTCCTCCCAGCGCTCCAGCGGGCGCCGAGGCCGCCCATCCATTCATTCCCGGGGGGTGGGAGGATAGGGGCCACAGCCAATCATGGTGGTGGGGCGGGCCCGCCCGGGCCATGCTGGGAGTGGTAGTCCCAGACCTGGGGGCCGGCCAACCCGGCGGCGGGAGGGGGCAGGGGCGGAGCCCAGGGGCACTCACAATCCCACACGCTCACACACCCTGCCTCAGAGACACATCCCAGACTGAAATATACACACACACTCACTTATGCAGATGTACACCTGGACTCACACCCATATTCCACCGTTTACACACGCACTCACAGATACACCCCCACGCTCCCACCTTCACACGGACTCACACAGCTACACTCACATGCACGTCTACTTACACACATACTTCATACCAGGAGACTTAGAGGCACCTTACAGGTGCTCACACAGACTTTCCCCAACCCGTAAATGGCAGCCTTCACACACGTGCCTCATGGACACAGGCTCTCCTCCACTTCTCACCTGTCCCTTCTTGCTCCGGAGATCCCCATTATATCTCACACGGGATATATAGTCTCTCACTCAGCCACACTCACAGGTACAATCCCTTCCACAGGAGTGACAGAAGCCACACTTCTGGATTCAGATCCTGGCTCTGCAATTTGCTTGGTGAACCCTTTGAATGACTTCCCTGGGCCTCGGTTTCTTTTTCTCTAAAATAAGGGCAATGCCTCATTGGATTTTTATCAGGATTAAATGAATAAATACGAGGAACCAAAAGAGCAAATATGGATAAAGTTTTTTAAAAGGCAGCTGGCATGATGGCTCGTGTGCATGACTACTAAAAGACTGGCAGTTTGAGTGCATCCAGAGGTATATGGGAATAAAGGCGTCGCGATATACTTTTGAAAATTCAGCCATTACAAACCAGAGCACAGTTCTACTCTGACACACATGGGGTCAACATAAATCAAAATGGACTCAATGGCAACTGGTTGGTTAGTTTGACATCTAGTAGGAGCCCTGGTAGTGTAGTGGGTTAAGGTTGGCAGTTCAAACCCACAGTGGTTCTCTGGAGAAAGATGAGGCCATCTGCTCCCATTAAGATTCAAAGCCTCAAAAATCTGAAGGAGCAGTTCTACCCCGTCCTGTCGCATGGCAATAAGTCAGAATCGACTCGACAGTCATGAGTTTATGTGCTTGGTACAGAAGATCTGCTATGTACTAAGATGTAAAGTGGTGATAACAAAACAAACAAACAACTTTGCCATCAAATCAATGATGACTCACAGTGACCCTGTATAGGGTCTCTGAGGCCATAAATCTTTACAGGAGCAGAAAGTCTCATTTTTGTCTCACAAGAGTAGCGGGTGGATTTGAACTTGGAACTGCCGACCTTGAGGCTATCCTACTGTGCTATCCTAGCTGACCCTTATTAGAAAGCCTACTGCCTGGCGGAACAGATGTTTAATGAAGACATTTTTACTGAACACTGATTACAGTGCTAGACATGGTTCTAAGTGGTTAACTTACCTGATCCTCATAACAACTTTTGGATGATCCCATTATTATCCCCATTTACCAACTGAGGAATCTGAGGTACAGGGAGGTGAAGTTCTAGACCTGAGATAACACAATCCTCTGCCCCGGCGGCTATTTGAAGGCAAGATTGTGGAAACAACTCACTTATCCAGACATCCCATCCACACATGGACCTTACACCTTTTTCTCTCCCCCTGTCACCCAAACAGATTCCACCCTAAAGGATCTCCCAGAAAGTGAACTGACCAAATAGGTCATACACACTTTGCAAATCTTCTTCACACACACACTCAAACACACACTTACAGCCCTCACCCCCGTTCAGAGTTTGTGTCCAGGATTGGAGCCACACAGATGAAATAAGGTGGTCATGTATGCCCAGGAACACATTCATCCACCAGGGGGCCCTCTTGCAGACAGGGAGAGGCACTCTAGCCTTCACCTCTTTTGTAACTTGATACTCCCTCCCTTGGTCACTTCTTCACACAAACCTCTACTCTTGGATCCCTTCCACAAACACTTCTGCCTCTGGGCCAGGTAAGACTGTGACCTGCCCCCTCCCACAGAACTCCAACTGGGACCTCTGTGTCAAATCTGGCTTAAGGTAGGTGACAAGTTGGGGACAGGTAGGTGGAAAAGGGAGTAAGTGAGAGATTCCCAGCACACCCCACATCTCTAGTCTCAGACACCCCAACTCATCCTGGCAAAGACCCCTCTCCCACATGCTCTGCTACACGTGTGTGAACACATAATCGCTCCCCTTTCCAAACAATCCTCCCATCTGCCTTCTGAGGGTGGCACAGTGGGCTAGCATCAGGCTGCTGCTAACAGCAAGGTCAGTAGTTCAAAACCACCAGGTGCTCCATGGGAGGAAGCTGTCTGCTCCTAGAAAAGATTTACAGTCTCAGAAACCCTAAGGAGCAGTTCCATTCTGTCCTATGAGGCAACCCAATGGCAATGAATTTACTTTGGGTTGGCACACAGTCAAAATCAGTATTGATATTACTACTGCTCTGGTAGCGTAATGGTTACAAATCAGGCTGTGAACCACAAGGTCAGCAGTTCGAAACTACCAGCTGTTCCATGGGTGAAAGATGAGGCTTTCTGCTCCTGTAAAGATTTACAGCCTTGGAAACCCTGAGCAGGGTCACTATGAGTCAGAACCGACTCCACGGCACATAGCCACCACCCACACACATTCCAGGAGCCCCCAGTGGCAACATAGGAAGAGCAATGAATGGTCAGTGGTTCAAACCCACCAGTCGCTCTTCAGGAGAAAAATGAAGCTTTTCGCTCCAGTAAAGATTTACAGTCTCGGGAAGCCTATATAATGGTCACTGTGAGTTGGAACTGACTTGTTGGCAGTGGGGAATCATCCCTTTAACTGGGACAGGCTCTATACTAAGTGCTCATAAATAGTACCTGATTTAAGCCTCACAACAAAAAGAAGTATAGTGATTCCCATTTCACAGAGGGTAAAACTGAGGCTGAGGGAGGTAATCAATGGCTGAAGCCAAGGCTTGAACTCAGGCACTCAGAAAGTCTGAGGGTCTCACTTTAGAAGCCTCCTGCTCCCAAAATTTGACTCTCACATTCTTTGATGGCAAAAGTGAGTCCCTCCCCTGCCCACCTGCAGACCCCCAGGAAGGGGAGAGTAGGGAGGGAGTCTGGCACACCCACCCCTCACTCACTCTGACCTCCAGGCCCCACAGAAGCCTGGATGCCTGTAGACCCACCAACAGGCAGAACTCTGTTCTCAGCCAGTGTGCAGTGTGTGCGAGAGAAGGTGGGTTGTCACTATCACATGCCACCATACACTGACCCCCGGGCCCCACTTCAAGCCCTCTCTGGCTTGGCAAGCCACACTTGTCGGCGCGTGCCTGTAAGCTCCCGCCCTACACACACCCTCCTTTCAACTCCCCCGCCTCCCTTTGGTCCGGGCACCAAATGCAGCCCTTCGTTGGGTCTCTGGCGCTTCTCTCCGGTGTCCCCTACCCCCGGCCCCAGCCCACAGCACACAGAACTCAAGGTCAAGGCAGCGAGCGCACGGGGTTGGGGGAAGGGGAGGGGAGGGGAGGTCGTCCCAGCCCCTTTGTGCCGAGCCGCCAGCGTTGGCCCTCCTCCTCTACCCAGGCCGGGGAGGGGGGAGGGGAGGGCTGTTCCCGCCCGAGAATAAGGGCGGGAGCGGGCGTGCGCCTGTCACTCGGAGCCCGCTATCACCGCCTGGGGGAAGTGGGGGGGTTGTATGCCGGGACCCGGGAGTCCGGGATCCCAATGAGAGAGAGAGGGCGGGTGAGAAAAGACGAGAGGTGGGAAGAGAGAGCAATAGCAAAGAGGTATGATCAGAGGGGGCTAGGCTCGGACCCGGGCGTCCCAAGCGCCAAGGTACTAGACACGGGAGAACGCCAGCGCTGCAAGGAATGACGCGGATAGGGAGGAAGAGAAGGAATCCCCGGAGGTTGTGGGCGCTCTCCGGAGGCTCTCTTTGGATGTGCATGGGCGGGGAGGGGAAGGAGTCCAGTTATCTAAGCTGATCTTGGTGTCGGGGCTCCTAGGTGAGGGGTCAGGCCTGAAGACCTGGACAGGAAAAGGAGACAGCAGGAATCTAACCAGGGACCCCGACGCCACAGATCCCACCCTGCGGCCGCGTGGGCCCGGGACCCGGGAGGGCAGACGGAAAGGCGCCTTAATAAAGGGAAAAGAGGATGGTGGAGAGCATCGAGGTCGAGACTCAGGCACTGGTGCGCCAAGCTCCATGTCGGGAGTGGGGGGTAGAGGTGATGGGTGAGGGAAAACCCTGACCCCCTGGGTGGGAAAACTCGGCCTCCGCCCCCCCCACCCCCGCCCGCACCACATTCCTTCACTGACAACGACAAAGAAGAGGTGCCCCGAGACCCTGAAGGGACTCCCGCCTCCAGCCCTAGAAGGTGTCAAGGGGGTGGTGGGTCCCCAGGGGCAGGAGGGCGTTCTGGGGGGAGGCATTCAACTACCGTCTGCTTGGTGTGACCCCCCTCCCCAGCAAAGGCGGGGGAAGAGGTCCTGGGAGGGTTCGGGTCGGAGTCGGGGGTGGCTGCGGGAACACTCACGACTTGAGCGGGTTCTGAATGGCGGTGGCCATGGCCCGCTCTGAGGGGCCGCCTCCGGCCCGGGGCGCCGCTGCAGCCGCGCGCGGGCCCAGCCCGGCCTGCGCCGCCGGCTCTGCCGCCCAGCGCGCTACGATTTCATTCATTCTTGGGGCTGCGGCGCGAGCCGAGCGGGGCGGGACGGGGGCGGGCCTCGACCAATCCCCGCGCCTCCCGGCGCACTACGGGACGTGGAGTCTAGGGGCGTGCGACGGCGCCCGAGGGCGCCCCTGCCCGGACTACACGTCCCAGGGGGCGCCGGGAGGACCAAGTGTCCATTGGCTGCTGGAGATACAGGGTGGGGCTGGACTCTCCCAGAGCATCCTTTTCCCCTCACAACTCCCGCTCCCCATCCTTGGGCGCTGGTACAAAGTCCCAGGATATGTGGATAACCCCATGGTCTCTCGTATATTTTTGTCTATGCCTGCTAGTCCAGGTGTCTCACCTGTGTAAACCAGCCTGTGACCACGCACAGGAGTTCATCGGCGTCTTCTTCGTTCATTTATTGAGTGTATCAGACACTTTTCTATGCACCAGGAACACAGCAATTACCAAAGCAGACAAAAGCACTGCCCTCAAGGAGCTGACGTTTTAGTGGCGAAAGACAAATAATACACAAGAAAAAAAAAAAAGATCTGGTCATTTCAGGGCTTGATGGTGCTATAAAGAAAATAAAATAGGTTGATTTGAGGAAAGGGTGGCCTCTCAGACGAGGCTGCCTTTGAACTAAGACCTGAGAAAGTGCATGCCATGCAAATATAAAGAGAAACATGAACTACCAAATGCAAAGGTCCTGGCATGTCAACAAGCTTGGCCTTGGCGTGCTCAAAGATCAACAAAGCTAGTGTGGCTGAAGTAGAGTGAATGGGGGAGAGGAGGTTGGGAAAGAGCAAGGACTCAGATCAGAAGGGCCTTGTAGGCTGTTATAAATAAAATTTTGTTCAGCGTGCAATCAATCATCCTGGACATTTTTCTTCTCTTCACACATATACCAAATCCATCAGCAAATTCTCTTATCTCCATATTGATAAAATGAATCCAGAGTTCATCCACCTCTCTTCCCTTCCCAGTCTCCATTCTGGTCCTTTCCACCATTATCCCCCACCTGTACTCTCATGGCATCTCCATCATTGGTCTCTGCTCTGTTCCTCAAGTCTGTTCTTCCCATGGCAACCAGAAGAGGCTATCTAAAGCATACATCAGAGCACACCACTCTCTGGCTCAAAATCTTCAAGAAGGACCTTTTTCACAATTAGAATAAAATGCAGTGTTCTCATCTTATGTTCTAGGACCTATTCGGTTCCTCCAGACCTCCAACACATTTCCAACATCATCTCCTTCCTTTCCTTTGGCTAACTTTGCTCCAGCCACACTGACCTCCTCTCTAGCCCTGGACCTTCCAGGCTCACTTCAGCCACAGGACTTTTACATTGCTTAGAATGCGTCTTCCTCAGATACATGGGGATGCATGGGGCCCTTCCTCACTTCCTTCAGGTCTTTGCTTAAACATCACCTCCTCAAAGATCACTGCATCTAAAATAGCATCCCTTCAACTACTACTTTTCCTCTAAGCATGTATCATGGTATGTCATCACATCATGTATGTATTTTGTTACTTGGTTTGTTGTCTGTCTCCATTGATGAGAATGTTAACTCTATGAAGCCAGGGATGTTGATCCATCCATTGTTGCCTCTCCACTGCCTGACAAATAGTATGTACTATTTATTTTTTAAGTGACATCCTCATGTGGCACTATAGGATAAGCCCTGGACCTAAAGGTTAGTTTGAACTGCAAGGATGGCAGTTCAAACTCACAAGCCGCTCCTTAGAAACCCTATGTGGGGTCGCAAAGAATCGGAACGACATGACAGCGCTTAACAACAATAGCAAGTTTTTTAAAAGGAGTCCCTGAGTGAGACAAATGGTTAAGCACTTGACTACTAACCACAAAGGTTAGTGGTTTGAATCTACCCAGAGGCACCTTAGGAAAAAGGCCTAACAATTTGGCTCTGAAAGATGATAGCCATTGGAAATCCTACGGAGCACAAGTCTGCTCTGACACACACGGTGTTGCTGTGAGTCAGAATCGACTCACAACAACTGGTTGGTTTTTGTTTTCTGTTTTTTTCCCCTTTTTAAACACTTGGTGAATAAATAAATGAAATCAATTAGTCATTGTATCCTATGTCTTCCCCAGTGCCCAGCTCTGAGGCATGCAGTTATGTGAGGAAAGGAAAGCTTCCCAGCACAAGGTTAAAGGTAGGGAGGAGGGAGATGTTAACATTTGCACTCAGTGCTAGAGTAGGAAGGGCTACATTCCTGTGTGAGCATGCTGGGGACACAACCCAGGGCTCTTTCCTGAGCTCACAGTCTAGCCAAATGACAAATCTATTACCAGACAATGGCAGCCCTGAGGTGTTGGGTCCAGGCTGGGCAAGGCACAACAGTGGGTCAGGACTGGAGTGAGGGAAGCAGAGAGAGCAGTGGAGTCCAGAGGAGGCACCTGAACCAACCTGGGGTTCAAGGAAGACTTCTTAGAGGAGGGGACACCTAAAGTGCTTATGAATCCTTTAGAGTCCTAACCCCCTGTCCTTGACCTTTTCAGGTCCTGATCTCTGATCTTCCTATCACTCAAATCCTAGAAGCAAACACTGATCCCCAAAGTTCAGTCTTTGGTCCTGCCTCCAAAACCTAAGAGTTTGGCCAGTGGAGCACCGTCTTTGTCAGGCCCTTAGAGACATTGCAGGCTTGAGGTCAACTAGTGGAGACACTAGACTCCACATTGGTCCTCCAACCCTGCTTAGAACCTCATTGCCTGACTCATGGCAAGAGAAAGGCTGTGTGCTGGTGGCCAGGAGGAAGGATTGCAGAATGTACCCTTTGGTTGGTTGTTTATGATTATATATTCCTGAGTGCTTTTGTATACATTAAAAAACAAACGACAGAGGGAATGATGATGCAGGGAGAGGATTGTAATCATTGCAATGAAACGAAGTATGATAGGATGAGTGCAAAACTGATGTTCTCCCATCTAAACTATCACTCAATTCACAATAAAAAACTTTTAAAAAGAGAATGTTTGTGAGGAAGACACAGGGCTAGGCAGTGTTTCCTTATGTTATACATAGAGTCTCTATGAGTCAGAGCCGGCTCCACGGCACTTAACAGTAACAACAACAACATTGATACAAAATACAACAAAGTCATCGGGCTCACTGATAAAAGATAGGCAAGAACGTATATTGCATGATCCCATTTACTTAAAACCCTGTAAGATGCCAGCTCATTTATAGTGACAGAAGGCAGATCTGTGGTTGCCTAGAGAGGAACAGGAAAGAAGGATTACAAATCAGCGTGAAGAACCTTGGTGGGCTCGATATTTTCATTACTCTGGTCATGGTGATGTCAAAACTTATCAAACCGTATATTTTATAAGTGTACAGTTTGTTTGTGTGAATTATACCCACTAATAATTGTTGTTGTTAGGTGCCATCAAGTCAGTACCGAGTCGTAGCGACCTTATGCACAGCAGAACAAAACACTGCCCGATCCTGGGCCAACCTCACTATCGTTGGCACGCTTGAGCCCATTGATGCTGCCACTTTGCCAATCCATCTCACTGAGGGTCTTCCTCTTTTTCTCTTACCCTCCACCCTACCAAATATGATATCCTTCTCCAGTGACTGGTCCCTCCTGACAATATGTCCCAAGTATGAGAGACGAAGTTTGGCCATCCTGGCCTCCAAGGAGCGCTCTAACTGCACTTCTTCCAACACAGATCTGTTGGTTCTTTTAGCAGCCCATACTAGTAATTGTTGTTGTTGTTAAGTGCTGTCGAGTCGATTCTGACCCATAGCGACCCTGTACAGGGTTTCCGAGGCTGTAAATCTTTACGGGAGCAGAAAGCCTTATCTTTCTCCCATGGAGCAGCTGGTAGTTTCGAACTGCTGACCTTGCGGTTCGCAGCCCGATTTGTAACCACTATGCTACCAGAGCTCCTAATATACTAATAATGTTGTTGTTATGTGCCGTGGAGTCCGTTCCGACTCATAGCGACCCTGTACAGACTTTCCAAGGCTCTAAATCTTTATGGGAGCAGAAAGCCTCATCTTTCTCCTGTGGAACAGCTGGTAGTTTCGAACTGCTGACCTTAAGGTTCACAGCCCGATTCAAAACCACTACGCTACCTAGGTAGCATTTATTTTGTTGATCATATTTTGGTAAAACTGTTTAAAAACGGTCATAATATGCAAAATGAACTGCGTTATATGGTGGTGGGCAGTGCAAAGACAGTAAGACAAGCTGGGCAGAGGGAGAGTGTCTAGAGTGTCTACGGAGGGGAGGCATTGCAATAGGACAGTGAAGCTTTATTGAGGTGGCATTTATGTGAAGACCTGAATGATGTTAGAGGCGAGCTTTGCAGGCCACACCCCTGAGGAAACGCCCTTTCAATTGATTGGCTGCTCATAGCAGTTTACTTCATGGAGGCGTTTACATTATAGCAGGTTTTATTATGGGAGACAACTACATCATAATTATCAAACCACTGAAATTCATGGTCCAGCCAAGCTGACACACAATTTTCACCATCACAAAGACCCCCTTGCCTCTTTGTTGCTCTGTGCACACCTGGTCTATAGTTCAGGTTACTGGGCAGGACTCCCTGGTCAGTGTCCCCCATCTTTATCCCTTACCACCTAAGACCACGACCTCCCCAGGCCTCCAGCTCCCACCTTCCCTATATACACTCCCTTTGGACTTGTGTAAGAATTTACTTGGGTACACATCAAGGAATAGAATTGCTGGGTCAGATGGGATGCATATAATCTGATCGTGCCTGTTCCCCCAACTCTGCCACCGTCATGTTCTTCACACACAGACGTATGAATCCTGTGAATACCTGAGTCAGGTCACACGGCTCTCCTGCTCAGAAGCCCTGTATGGCTTCATCTCACTTTGGTTAAAAAGAAATTCCTCCCTGTGGCCCCCAAGGTC